CTTTTGTACTATTCAGCAGTAGAGTTGAGTATTCATGACAGAGATCATATGTCTTGCAGATGTTGGTCCTTTATAGAAAAAGTTTGCTAACCCCTGCTCTATATACTTGAAGAAAGAGTCAGAACATAATTTGGAATATAAAAGTCATTCATTATTGTATTAATACTTCTGTCCTTGAAGATCATAACCCTATGTAGCAAAACCTAGTCAAAAGTATGAGGACTGTCTTTATTAATGAGCTAGAAAACAGAAAAACATTGAAACAAACCAACAAATCATCATATAGAAAAATTAATTTGATGCAGTTCTGAGAGATGGCTTCCCCGGTAGCTCAGATAGTAAAGACTCCACCTACAGTGCAGGAGACCTGGGTTCGATCCCTGGGTTAGGAAGATCCCCCAGAGAAGGGAATGGAACCCACTCCAGTATTCTAGCCTGGAGAATTCCATGGACAGAGAAGCCTGGCAAGCTACAGTCCATGAGGTTGCAAACAGTCAAACATGACTGAGCAACTTTCACTTCACTTCTGACAGAGAGCCAAATCAGAATTACCATGGCTGCTTTTTAATGACTCTTTACACGTCTATTAAGAAGGCTCATTTCTAAAAATTTCCAGTTGGAAAATTCCAGGGCTGAACACATATATTCGTATTGGACATTTTTTTCTGTAGAAGAATGTGGTGAAGAAGGCTTTATGGTCTAAGGACAGAACCTTAAAACAAAACCAAGATGATTATTTTACAATTACATAAGTCTTTGACTCATCAAAATATTTTAAAATTTATCTCATCATACACATAACTAACGTTGGCAAATTAATTATAATTATCTTTTAGTTTGTTTGAAATGAGGAAACTGGCCCAGAGCATCATTGTTGTATGATTTTTTTAAAGCCACTGAAGTTAGAGTCAAACCCCGATCTTCTTCCCACTCAAGACTCCAAGCAACAGTGTGCCTTATCTGGAAACAGAAGTGAGAATCCCTGACCAAGCTAATCTCACTGGAATGTTTGTTGTAAGATCAAATTATATATATATATATATATATATATATATATATATATATATATGAACACACTCTGAAAACTCTGTAACATACTTTATAAAACAAAGGAGAAAAGAAAGAGAAGAAAAGAAAGTAATTTGCTTAGCTCAGGTAACTCTTGGATAACTGGGGGTATTCACCCCTCTTCCAGTCTGTGTTCATCCCATTAGCCAAGGTTAATGGAGGTGAAAATAAAAATCATTTGCTATAGGAACCGATACTTTCAGTCATCAAATGTTCTACTCTTAGTCGGGATGAATTTCACACCAGAAAGACCTTTGCTTCGCAACTGCATTGCTCTCATCTCTTTCCTCTAGTGAGTAGAAAAACAAAAGCTTTATACCCACTGTAACAAATGCCAACAATTTAAGATTTCTTTTTACAGCACATACATATGCTAATATCATGAGTGTTAACACCACAGTGTTCCAGATGCCACTCAATCTATGTATTATTTAATAAATTGCAAGTGTACTGTACTGAATAATATAATTGATAAAATCACCTTATCTTTGGAATTCAGTGAATTGTTTGTGCAATGGTGTTGTTCTTCATTACATGCCTGAATGCACTCATTAACTTCAGAGTGAACAATAAGCCTAAAAAAGCACAAAGATGGTGCACCTGAACCAGCAGGAAGTCTACATTTCAACCACCCCAGAATCTGGCAGGTCTAATCCCTGAGAAAGAGCATGTTCCAAGCATTGTACCTACATTTCTTACTCAAGAGGTGATTTAGCTTTTTGGTTTTTAAAAAGTGAGGAGTGAGAGCTGACTATCCTTAATTATAAACATAAACCTAAGATGGGAAGGTTCTTAAATTCACCTATTTTTCAAGTTATTAACACATTTTACCTGTTGTTGAAATGCCTAAGCTCATTTCCAAATTCATTTTCCCTCACACTGTGCATACACTTGCCTTAAAATAGCACCACATTCCTGGGAACTTCTGAGGCTCTTTCATTCTGTCTTTGCTGTCTGATAGTAAAGGATGTACCCAGCTAGCCTGACAAAGGCTCTGCACAAGGGCTATGCAGCTTCATCCCTGTTGGGAAAGAATTTCTGAGCCAGATTTGGCTGATGTAAAGGGTTTATTTTTCTGGGTTACCAAGTTTTAAACAAAATCCATTCACTAATTCATTCACCAAATACATATTAAGTACTGGAATATCCCAGGCTCTGGGGATAAAAAGAGACAAATAGAATAGACTAGACCAAGTCTCTGTTCCCCTGATTCTCATATTAGTGGGAGTAGAAGGGGAAAGACAAACAATAAACATCTAGTATAATAGGTTTCTAGTATAATAGGTTTCATTATAATGAAATATAATATATATAGTATAACATGTATGATAAAGTGCTAGGGTGAAAACATGATGTGATAAGAGTTCAGGGTAGTAGGTGGAGCTGGAAATACTGTTACCTAGAGTTCTCCAGTAGACATTAATAATGTTCCCCATTACTGCTGGTTGCCCTCTTTATCCAGGAACACTAGAAAGTTACACTTGCTCACATTTCAAAAATTGATGATATGACTTACTTTGGCCCATGAAATATGAATAGAAATGACATGTCACTGTCAGGCTGAAGAACTGGGGAGCCAGTGTGCAGTTCTCGGAGGTGTTTCCCCTACTGTGTCTGTGCTTTAAGCCTCATGTTGAAATAGTGGCATTACAATTTCTAGTTTCTAGTCTCGTATCTAAGAACTTTGGAAGCCACCAGTCCTTTCCACACAAGAAAAAAAGTTGGAAAAAATGAAAAATCAACAACTTTTCTTAGATCTAACAGAAAATTCAGGTCACAGGACAAAAAAAAAAAAAAGCCCCCTAAATTGGAGAGACAGACAGGTGGATAGAGAGAACCACAACTTATGGGAATAAAAACCTGCAAATAGAAACATCCACAGGAGCCAATATTAGGATCATTTTCTCCGTCATGACTTACTCTTTACAACCCCATGGACTATAGCCTGCCAGTCTTCTCCATCCATGGAATTATCCAGGTGAGAATACTGAAGTAGGTTGAGAAAACCTAAATAGTAATTGATGGAATTGCTCAATATGGACAAATGAAAAAGTCCAGGTTTAGTCTTAGGAGGATGACCCTACACCTTAGTGAGACATATCTCTAGGAGCCCTACCAGGTTCTCACAGCGAAAATCACAGAAAAAGTCCCTGATGCTTCCAGCAGGGGAGGAGGGAAAAGTAACTATTTTGAAATAAACCCAGAGTACTCTATTTTTATTAGCAAGGCATGCCCTCAAGAGAAGCTATTTTACTAATAGTTTACTTATTAGTAAAAACTATTTTAACTCATAGTTAATCAACTTGAGTTTATCAGAACCTAACTGATCTGGAATAAAGGAAATGCCCAATTCCAGCTCCCGCTAGCCTTTCTGCCTAAACTAATGGTGATGGGGATTGCAAAGCACCAGTGAAGGTCACAGCCCAAGGGTACAGGCACAGACTCATTAAAACCTGGAAGTCAAAGTATGGAACTATAGTATGCTTTTTCTCCCCGTGCCCCTTACCACAATATCAATAGGGTTCTTGTGTAATAGGTAGATACTATGGAAAGAACTACAGGCCTCAGAACCTATTTAAGAAAAAGTCCCCAGGGAAACCCAAAGACAACAGGAGAGGCAAAATCAAGGGCAACAGAGGAAATTTTAGCTTCTGACACCAACAGTTAGAGCAAACTTTAATAAAGACAGTCTAGCAAACAGCTATAGCAAGCAATAGACAGTCCAGCTTTTAAACAGATAAACACAAAACTCACAGTAAAAGCCTATTTACCTCAGTACCTTTTACCTAGTACATCATGTCTGGTTTACAAGAGAAAATCATAAGGCATACTAAAAGACAAAAATATATATATAGTTTGAAGAGACAAAGCATCAGAACAGAAACAGACATGGCAGAGATGTTGGAATATTAGACCAGAGTTTAAAGCAGCTATTATTAATATGTTAAAGGAATTGTGGTGCTGGAGAAGATTCTCTTGAGAGTCCTTTGGACAGCAAGCTGATCAAACTAGTCAATCCTAAAGGAAATCAATGCTGAATATTCATTGGGAGGACTGATGATGAAGCTGAAGCTCCAATACTCTGGCCACCTGTTGTGAAGAGTCAACTCTTTGGAAAAGACCCTAATGCTGGGAATGATTGAGGTCAAAAGGAGAAGAGGGTGGTAGAGGATGAGATGGTTAGACGTCATCACTGACTCAGAGGTTATGAATTTGAGGAGATATCTCAAACTTCAGGAGATAGTGAAGGACAGGAAAGCCTGACATGCTGTAGTTCATGGGGTTGAAAAGATCAGACACGACTTAGTAACTGAACAACAATAAGGGAAGTATAATGCAAAAAGGTGTACAACATGCAAGAACAGATGCATAATGTAAACAGAGAGATGGAAGGAAATAAATGCTAGAAATCCCATCCTATTTACAAACCCCGCTCATATTCAAGGGCTTATTCTTCCAAATAATCATACAGAGTGTACACAGGAGGAGGTAGAATTTTGGGGGCCAGCTCTGAATTCTGCCTACTAGAGGGAGCAATTTGATGATGATTTGAAGCAGAGACAAGAGAAGGACACTATCTGACTTATGTTTTACTTTTTTTTCAAACTTTAAACTTTCTATTTTGTATTGGGGTATAGCTGATTAACAATGTTGTGATAATTTCAGGTTAGCAAATGAGATGATAATATGCATGCCCGCGTGTTAAGTCACTTCAGTTGTGACCGACTCTTCGCAACCCTGTGGACTGAAGCCCACCAGGTTTCTATGTCCATGAGATTCTCTAGGCAAGAATACTGAAGCCCCCTCGGGTGGCACAGCCGGGAGGGGCAGAGCTGAGGCGGCGGTGGCTGAGAAGGCAGCGGTGATGGCGGCAACAATGATGGTGGCTCTGGAGGCTGAAGTCCAGTCCTGGATTTGGCCCCAGCCCCACCATGGTGATGCTTGCTGAGCTGCTGGTGCTCTTGGCTGCCCTCCTGGCCACAGCCTTGGACTACATCATCAGCACTGACGCGCATTCAGAGGAGTGCTTCCTCGAACGGGTCACCTCAGGCACTAAGATGGGCCTCATCTTCCAGGTGGCCGAGGGCAGCTTCCTGGACATCGACGTGGAGATTACAGGCCTGATAATAAAGTAATTTATAAAGGAGACTCGGAGTCCAGTGGGAAATACACATTTGCTGCTTACGTGGATGGAATATACAACTTTTGTTTTAACAATAGGATGTCCACCATGTCTCCCAAAGATAGTGATGTTCACCACGGATATCGGGGAAGCCCCCAAATGACAAGACATGGAAACAGAAGCTCACAAGAACAAGCTAGAAGAAATGATTAATGAGCTGGCAGTGGAGATGACAGTTGTGACGCATGAACAGGAATACATGGAAATTGGAGACAGAATACACAGAGCAATCAATGACAACACAAACAGCAGAGTGGTCCTTTGGTCCTTCTTTGAAGTTCTTGTTCTAGTTACTATGACATTGGGACAGATCTACTACCTGAAGAGAGTCTTTGAAGTCTGGAGGGTTGTTTAAAAGCCTTTTCCCCATAATCCCAAATTCATAATTCACTGTTCACCAAACATCTTGGTCATAATACTGTCACTAGTTTCTACATTTTTATTTTCTGAACTGTATCTTCACAGCTTTTGTTTTTTTGTGATTAATAGGTACTATTAATAGATTAATAGACACTTTTTTTAGGAAAGCTATAGTGAAAATTTGACATTCGATTGGCATAAATTCATATTTGAATTCTGCCTCCATTATTCAGGCCCTTCCAAAACTCAAACACTGTAAGCCGAATACAGGTGTAGAGTCCTTAGTTTTCTTTCCTTTTGTTTTCATAATAAAATGCAGTTTGTTCAGGATAGTACTTTACTAATAGTACTTTACTAAAATGATTGCATTCTTGGGATCCCTTATCCTGCAATTCAAGTCATTAGAAAGATTCATTTTGTTGAGAAACAACAATCCGAATCTTGACATTTTCTATGCATCTTGATGGCAGAGCTCTGTGACTAGAGTATGTGAACAGGTTGGTACTTTTACACTTTCTCTCTCTTGTTTTTGCTTTAAAGATAAGACTTAAACTAACAACCTTTACAAAACCCCCACCCCCAAAGTTTCACTTTGAACCTTAGAACTCAATCATCTCCACTTAAAATTGTTGCCACAAGCAACTAATAACCATTTTTCGGTTTCTGCCTAACCTTGTAAGAAGTCTATTAAAGCCAGTTCTCTGCATGTTTCAGCAAATGGTAACTCTTTTTCATTCTATGCTGGCACATCCACTTTCTCTACTCTTGGCATGTAGGAGATAAGCATTCACGTAATTGGAAAAATCTGGATTTCCGATGCCAAAGGATTAAAGCCTCTTGGATTTCTTTGCAGTGATACACAGCCACTATTTATTTTTGATCAGTGGCATTTTGGTCACTGTTTAATTAGGGTACTGAATATCACTGTCAGTACTAGGGGTTTTGTTTTTGTTTTTCTTGGGTCTTTCTTTTTTGGCACATGTGAATTTTGATTTGTATAAAACGAAATGACTTTCTTTGGTCTCTGATGATGGGTTTAAAATTCAAGGAGCATCTGGTTTTGGCGTGGGGATGATCCAGGATTATGTTATGACTGATGTATATTGGTTACTTGTACTTTTTTTTTTAATCTTTGCAAGGGGAAAACTACAAGTAATGAGTTTTGTATAATTAATTTAAATTTGTTACAGGTTTTCATGTCCAGGATAAACAATTTTTCAACCTTGGATCAAAATACTTGCAAGTTTAAGGTGATTGCATTTTACCCTAGGACAATTGTTGCATGCCAATTTGTGTGCGTGTGTGTGTCCAGACACTTCAAAACTGAGTTAAAAGATGTAAGTTTAAAATTGGTTCTGTATCTGATCTGCCCCAGGTTCAGTAAATAAACAGTTCTTTTTAAAAACAACAACAACAGAAAAAAGAATATTGGAGTGGTTTGCTATGCCTCCTTCCAGCAGTTCTTTTTGACCTAGGGATCAAATCCACGTATCTTATGTCTCCTGTATTGGCAGGAGTCTTCTTTACCACTCATGCCACTTGGGAAGCCCACTAAATAATCAATTCAACAATATATGCTCTAATTTTAACATAATGTCAAATAAAGACTGTATTTGTATAATTTTTTAATGCTAAAATTTCACCATTTCAACTGTTTAGCCCAATAACCCCATTGGGCTATGACTATTTCCATCTAAAAGATAAAGGCTGAGGGGCCAAAACTCAAAGAAAGTACATCCCCACATGCCCAGCTTATTTTCACAAGCACGTACCCAAATCTCCTTTCTCTTTTACAGTGGAACCACAGAGACTTTAAACTTTTTAATAGGGGATATAGAGGGAGGATGTTGTCATTGGCTGATTTCAAAGAAAACAAAAGTGTGATATTACCAAATGAAAACCCCCTTGCATCTTTTTCCCATGAAAATACCATGGAGATAGGAAGATCTGGGAGTTTGGTGCCAAACAGCTTATACCTATCAATAGAGTAAACAACATGCTCATTTCATCCATAATTGTCCAAATATTTGGCCATTTTTTTCTTTACATCTATTAAAATTCCATATATTATGGGAAATTCTTCAAATTATTTAGTTCCATTATGCTTTTGCTGGGCAATTTTTATGTGCCATGCTCTTAGATACTTGCTTAGGTGATGTAGACTATAGCTCGGAGAAGGCAATGCACCCCATTCCAGTACTCTTGCTTGGAAAATCCCCTGGACGGAGGAGCCTGGTAGGCTGCAGTCCATGGGGTCGCTATGAGTTGGACACAACTGAGCGACTTCACTTTCACTTTTCACTTTCATGCATTGGAGAAGGAAATGGCAACCCACTCCAGTGTTCTTACCTAGAGAATCCCAGGGACGGGGGAGCCTCGTAGGCTGCCGTCTATGGGGTCGCACAGAGTCGGACACGACTGAAGCAACGCAGCAGCAGCAGCAGACTATCAGTTCAGTTCAGTTCAGTCGCTCAGTCGTGTCTGACTCTTTGTGAACCCATGAATTACAGCGCGCCAGGCCTCCCTGTCCATCACCAACTCCCGGAGTCTACTCAAACTCATGCCCATCGAGTCGGTGATGCCATCAAGCCATCTCATCCTCTGTCATCCCCTTCCCCTCCTGCCCTCAATCCCTCCCAGCATCAGGGTCTTTTCCAATGAGTCAACTCTTCACAGAAGACTATAGCTAGAGCTAAAAACAGCTGGAAACATTTCTGGAATTGAGGAATTCCTTTAATTCTGAACAGCTACAAGAGAAATTATCTGTCTAGGAAGGAGAAAATGGAGTCTAATAAAGCTAAAACACAAACACAAATATGTCTACCCAGGATGAAAGGAAGATTTCCATTGGGAAAATGCTCTCATAACTGGAAATTAGCCTTCTCTTTTTGACAGTTAACTACTGTACTTCAAAACATTTTATTTAAGATGACTGGAATAATTATGGCTACTTCATCCTTCTGTAGGGAAATGGCTCATGGAGAGATAAAGACCGAGAGTAAGCAGGCTGAAATAGTCCTATCTAATTAAAACCTGTCATCTAATTAAACACATTCTCAGCGATAGGAGGGTCTCAAGCTAGTTTTCTGATAGGGAAATGGTGTTCCAAATCATGAGTCACACAATCAAATGTTCTCACTAAGCACCACCAATTAGCCTATATTTAGGCACAATTTCTCTTTTTATGGAAACAAGGACACCAATTTTTCTATATGCAAGTTAAATAGAACACTATTCCTCTTACATAGGGTGTCTCCGGAAAAATATATTATTCCCTTTTCTTGTTGAATACATCCTGGTGATCTTTGCAATATGTGAACATCAAATTATAAATCTAGGCAATAATGATCTATTTTTCCATGCTTTCTCCTTTTTGCCATTGTAAGAATGACTTCATTCTAAGACAATACCATGCAGATGAAATTTTTAAACTTCCAAGTCCTGAAAACAACTGTGCTTCAATTTTGGCTTGTCCCACTGCAGCAGTCAAATCAAGTTAAAAATGTATGTACCTATAAGTGGCTTTGATAACAAGATGTCATTTGACTATTAAACATCCATAGCACTGTGTTTTTCTAAGCATGGCCTATGTATCCACATATAAGGCACCAAGATTCAAACTCTGTTGAAAACAAACATTTTGAAATCATTTTCAGCCACCGACATTACTCCCATTATAACCTCTATTTCCCCCAAGGTTAATATGTACCATCCAAAGAGCAAGGCCAGCTGCTGTTACTCCCATTGCCCCTCTCTTAATTACATGGTATCCTAGGCCCACTCAGTTGTCCAAGCATTTGCTATATTTTCTTTGCTGCAAGTGGCGCTAGCTACAAAGCTCTACCAAAAAGTACATAGGGGAACTAAAATGAAATCTTTTTTCCAAATTCCAAAGCAATTATTCCTTCTTTGTGACTAAACAAAAGGCTACGATGTTAGTTACACAGAATTTTCCACTTGAGAAAGTGAAATTGAGCTTTTAACCTCCACTCGCCTGAGGGCCTAGCTTTGTAAGCAGTCTGCTCCCACTGATGCTATGTTGCCTAGAGACAAATCAATCATAATATGTTTGCATGTGTGCAAGAGGGAGATGGTCCTTAATGCTGTGGAATGCCAGCACTCCTGACATTCCAGGAAAATGATTGTATTCTCTGGTTCCATCAGAATGACATTCATGTAAAAATCTCAAACGTCTCCCCTTGTCAGAAAATGAGCTTATTATACCTCTCGCAGTGTTTCTCTCCTTTAGCAAGTAGAAAATCTCAAAAGAAACCTTTTGGCTATATCCACATCCCAATTTGCCTCATTTATATTTTTGTCCATCAATACAAGGTGATGAAACTGAACTCCGGAACGTATTTTGCATAAGGCCACATTTTAGCTTATGTCTCTGTACTGTCTTTTCTTTTCTTTATCCTATAAGTCAATGTCCCTCCTCTTAGAAAGGAAAATCAAGCAAAGCTTAGCGTAACACCTTTAATAAAAGATAAACTTACCCTACAGGGTGATTATGCAATGCCATCTCCTATAGAAACAAAAACAACAATAAATATGTATCTGTATATCTAGATAGATAGATAAATACAGATATCA